AATGGTCAGCTGCTTCGCGCTGCCCATTGAGCATGATCATACAACACAAGCCAGACCTGCAGGTTCTTGACATGTTCAGGCGCGCCCCAGACGTTGCGCAGGCAGGCTGAGGTTGCTAGCAACAACGGCATGCTGGGCGGCCTGGCAGTTGCAGGAGCCTGGTCAAGGAGAAACGTGGATCACCGCCCAAGAGAAGTTGAAATTACACCACCGTAGGCCCCAAACAGGTGGGACAACAACGAAACATTCCCAAGTCCACTTATTGAACATCAACAAGAAGGGAGACAAAAGGAAACTGAAGGGAGACAAGATGGACACAATGGCAGAAGGCAGACAAGACCGGAGACAAAGGGAGACAGAAGGGAGACAAGACGGACACAATGACCAACAAGAAGGGAGACAAGAAGGGAGACAAGACGGACGCAATGACAAACAAGAGCGGAGACAAGAAGCAAGACAAAACGAAACAGAAGGAAGACGGACACAATGACAAACAAGAACGGAGACAAGAAGGGAAAGGAAGGGAGACAAGACGGACACAACGATCAAAAAAGAAGAGGAAAAAAGGAAAAAGAAGGGAGGCAAGACGGACACAAGGGAGACAAGATCGGAGACAAACGAGACAGAAGGGAAACATGGCGGACACAGTGACCAACAAGAAAGGAGACAAAGGGGGACTAGCCGGACGGAAGGCGAACACGCTGTCCAGCAGCAAGGCGGACACTCTCAGAAAGCCTTGAGAACCCCTAACAGTAACCTGCTTGGGGAACTACAAATGTTTGGGGAAGCGCCGAACCTGGGAAACAAAAGTAAACGACTTGGGGCCAGGTTTTGTTTGGTGCCCCCTTTCCATCACTTCTTTGGCTTGGTTTTTCCAGCGGTCGCTGTGCCGCAGCAGCAGCAGACCACCCAGCGGCAGCAGCAGCAGCAGCAGCATACCAACCAGCGCCGCAGCAGCAGCGCAGCACCACCCAGCAGCAGCAGCAGCAGACCACCCAGCGCCGCAGCAGCAGCAGCAGACCACCCAGCGCCAGCAGCAGCAGCAGCAGATCACCCAGCGCCAGCGCCAGCAGCGGCAGCCCACCCAGCGCAGCAGCAGCAGCAGCACCAGCAGACCTCCCAGTAGCAGCAGCAGCAGCAGCAGACCCCCCAGCAGCAGCAGCACAAGACTCAAATGACACCGCCTGACTCCACGCCGTAACTAGTCGCGTACGCGGGGTAGGGCTATGATGCAAGAAATGCCGCCTGCACATAGCACCCAAAAAGGTATTACTGTCCAATGTAGCTCCTGCTGCTGCTGGGTGGTCTGCCTTGGCTGCGTCTCCTGCTGCTGCTGCGGCCGCTGCTGCTGTTGTGTTTGCTGCTGCTGCTGCTGCTGCTG